AAGAAGCTATAAATTTTCTTGTACAAAGATTAACTTATCGTAAACAACAAAAGCTTCAAGAAGAATTAGTCAAATTACAAAAACCAGAAAATCGAATAGTAATTCAAGATAACCCATCTTTGCCAACACCAGAAGAAGATAACAAAGAATCAAAACAAGAAGAAGAATCAGAAGAAGAACAAGAAGAAGAAATGTAGATAACGCTTGATTTAATAATCTGATTATTAATCTTCATCAATTGATAACTGTTATTGGTAATAATCAAGGAAGAGAAGAAGCAAAATTCACAAAAATTATTGACTTCTATGGTGACACTCAAGATCCTATCAGATGGCTCCAAGACTTTGAAAATGCAAGTCAAGCTAATAATATATCTGATTTTAAAAAGTGACAAATTATTGGTGCATATTTGAAAGGATCTGTTGGAACATAATTAGCTAGTAAAAGAATCTTAGTAGCAGATTGACCAACTCAATGGAATCCAAATGATCCTGCCAGTCTACTAGATTTAGCAGCTTCCTTTATTTATTAATTCAAACAAAAATTTAGAACTATTAATAAGGTATATGAATGGCAACAATAATTAAACTAATGAAAACAATTATCAACTGAAACAGTAGAACAATATTCTGCTGCTGTAAGAAAATTACTTCACTGTATTGATCCAGATAATGAATATCCAGAACATCTGAAAATAATGATATTCATTGAAGGATTAAAGCCAGAAATAAAATTCTTTGTTAGTCCAACTTGACCAGCTACTTTAGATGATACTATCTATACTGCTCAACTATATGGATCAAGCTATCAATAATTCACTGATTTAAATAATATCAATACAACACTAATAACAAGCCTATTAAATGTCCCAGTAATTCAACAGCCAATAGAGAATAACTTAAATTAAGTCTCACAATAACTTGCAGCTTTGGCAACAAAATTAGAAAATTTTTAATAACCAAAATCAAAATCATCAAAATAACAAATATAATAATAATAATAATAGTAAAAATTATTTAAATAACCAATGAAGAAATAATTATAATAATAATTATAACAACAATAATAATAACAACTTACCTATCACTTGTTATAATTGTGATAAAATTGAACATATTGCAGCAAAATGCTTTAGCAAGAAAAATAATAATTATAATTAGCACAATAATAATTATAACAACAATTGATATTCAAATAGAGATAATAATAATCGACAAGACAACAATAATTGAAACAATAACCAAAATAACAATCGATAAAAGATCTTCCTGAATACTAAACAGCCTTTAAACTCCTAAATACACTTCCAAAAGGTGAACATGCATCAGCAAATAAAAACTCTTCAAACAAACAATTTTTAGAACAATTATTAATTAATAATGAACAGGAAAATAATCATAAACAAATACCTGTTGATACTTTATACTATATACTGAAAAAGTAGGAAATAAAGATATTACAATCATAATTGATAGTGAAGCTATTAGTAATATTGTATCCAAAGCATGTTTGAACAAAATTAATTGGAAAATTCAAAAGTCAAGCAATATTAATTTAATTGGAATTAATGGAAATAAAGAACAATCATTTGGAGAAGTTATAAACCTATCAATAACTTAGAAAATCAAAATTTGAATATTAATACGCTAGTAACTGAAAAAGGAGATTATGATCTTTTATTGAGAAATATTTGAACTCATAATCATCAAGCAATTGTAGATTGAAAATGAAAAATTCTTACCTTTAAAATAAATAATCAAAAGAAAGAAATACCAGTATCTTATCTTAAGCAAAGAAATATAATAGAGGAACAAAATGAAGAAATTCTATTCACTCAAAAAGATGATATTGAAATCAAAGTTTATCTTAACAAACAGAAAGGCAAAGAATCTGAAAAAGCACATAATACTAATACTGGATTTGATCTAAGATTTCCAGAAAATAAATCATTAGAAGTGAAATCAAGAAAAATAGCTTTTATTAATAGTCATATTGCAATAGAAATATCTAAAAATACTTATTGTCAACTTGTATCAAGATCATCTTTAGTGAAACAAGGTATTAAAATAAAAGAAGGAATAATCAATGCTGAATATACTGAAAATATTGAAATAATACTTTATAATAATTCTGATCAAATATATATCATTCAACCAAATAAAAAGATTGCTCAAGCTATATTCCTACCATTAATAAAGATCTCAAACTTAAAAATTGTTAATACTCAAGAAGAATTAGAAAATTCAGAAAGAGGTCAACAAGGATTTAACTTATCTGGAAGATTTAATTTGACAGACTTTGACTTAAGTGACAAATTTGAATATGAAATAGAAGAAGAAGAAATCTCTGATCAACTGTTACTATAAATTAAAGAAGAAAGAGATGATCAAACAATTTTGAATATTCAAGTAAAAGAAAATTATTCTCAACTCAATGATCAATAATTTTTCTATTCGATCTTTGAAGAGATGAAAACAAATAAAATTATTAGTTTTAAAAAATGCTCTCACGAGAATAACAAGTTACTTAAAGATTATTTGACATGCAATCAAGAACAAGACCTTTATCAATAACTTACAATAATTTCAGAATCATTATTTTAAGCTATGATAAGTAAAGAAATTAATTTGACTGAAAAACAACAACAATAAATAGATCAACTATTAGCTGAATATAATGATCTATTCAATATCAGATCCTGGTAGAATTAATATAGTTCAACATGAAATAAATACTAAAACTAGTTAATTAATAGCTTAAAAACTATATTTAAAAGATCACCACTAGAAAAAGAGTTTATCAAAACTGAAATCAATAAAATACTGAAATAAAATATTATCTCACTATTAGATAGCTCTTGGTTAGTACCATTCATGATAGCAAAAAAAAGAATGGAAAATTTTGATTTTGTATAAATTATTGATAACTCAATAAAGTAACTATAAAAGATCAATTTTCCTTACCTAGAATTAATAACTTATTAGATACATTTGGAAAAGCCAAATACTTTTCAACTCTTAATCTTACTTGTGAATATTGGTATGTAAAAGCAAAATCAGAAGATCAAAAAAAACTGCTTTCATCACTAGTAAAGAATTATATGAATTTAATGTAATACTCTTTGAACTTATAAATGGATCAGCAACATTTTAGCAATTGATAAATAAATTTTTAGCTATTTTATCTCGATAATATCAATATATTTTCAAAAACTTTTAAAGAACATTTACAGCATTTGAGAATTATCTTTAATATAATTTGAAAAAGTGAATTGAAATTATATTCAAATAAATGTTATTTTGAAAAGATTTCATTAGCTTTTCTTGGACATATTATTAGAAAGAATGGAATGCAATCTAATCCTTCAAAAATTATAGCTGTACAAAACTTTTCAGTTTTAACTAATTTGACAATACTAAGAAAATTTCTAGGACTAGCCTTTTATTATTGACATTTTGTTAGAAATTTTGCTAAAATTACCACTCTATTATACTAACTTATGAAGAAAAAATAATCTTTCACATGAAATGAAAACTGTCAAAAAGTCTTCGAAGAACTAAAACAACATTTGATATCATCACCAATCTTAATTTATCCTGACTTTGAAAAACTGTTTCTTTTATATATTAATATCTCTAGTTTTGGATTAGATGTCGTACTTGCACAAAAAGAAACAGATAATAAAGAACATGTAATAGCTTATGCTAATAAAAGAACTAGTACACATGAATGAACTATTGTATCACCAAATTAAAATGCTTAGATATTGTTTGGGTAGTTCAATATTTTAAATCATACCTATAATTAAATATTTCATTTATTGTTATCACTGATCATAGTGTCTTAAAAATATTATTTAACAAATCAAACCTTTCTGATAGATTAGCTCAATGGATTATAACTTTGCAAGATTACAACCTCAATATTGAACATTATAAAGGATGCTTATATTCAAATATAGATTTACTCTCTCAACATTTCAAGCCAGATCCAATATAGATTAAAACACAAAAAGATAATTTAATCATTAAATAAAACAACTTGAACATTTAGCTTTGAAATAATTCAATCAAAATTATAAATTTAATTGAATATAATCAACTCGTTAACTATTTAAACACATTACAATTACCAGAAAATCTAACAGTAAAAGAGCAACAAAAATTCAAAAATAAAGTAAAATATTACTTTATGAAAAATCAAATACTTTATCAACGCAATAATAGAAATCTAGAACAATCCTTAAAAGTTATTAAAATAACTGAAATAAAAGAAATATTATTTAATGAACATTCAGCAATTTATACCAGACATTTTGGTATTGAAGTAACATATTATAGAATATCACAAAATTATTATTGGTCAAACTTATATAAAGACATTGAAAATTATATCAAAGCTTGTGATATCTGTTAAAGAAAAGGAAGATTAAGAAAAAATAATTCATTATATCCAATTGAAACAAAATTATCATTCAAGAAAATTGAAATTGACCTAGTAGGACCATTATCATTTACCTTTAATAATAACAGATATAAAATAGTTGCTATTGATTATGAAACAAAATGGGCAGAAGCAAAAGGTATTCCAACCAAGTCATACACTTAAAGGATCATCTATTGCCATGAGAATTCGTGGTTTTTGATTTTACCAACTCGCAAATGCTTATCAATTATCTTGGATGCTTTTTTGGATCATTTGTGTATTGATGTATGATCCTGCATATATCATTTCAGCTTCATCTGTGGAAATGACACATTACGCTAAATAGTATAATCTCTAACCAATCAAAAATAGCTATTAAGTATACTATACTTAATAGTGTAACACCATATATTCTCTATCAACATTTATTTTTATACTCTTTATCAAAAGCCTTTTTTAGCAAATTTTTACCATAAACATCATCAGATTGATAATACAAATGTAAGATTAGAAATGTTATAAATACACAATCAATTAGAACTAATTGGTGTTATGTATTTCCTTTCAAATTAATTATGATTTATACTCAACCAAGTCCTGATACTGTAGCTAGGTTTAATCAATTGCCTAGTCTTCGGGAAGCTAATGAAGCAAGAAAGAAACAAGTTACTAAGGAGACTTTTAAGACTTTAGGTTTAAATAGCATATCATACCCAATATCAGATGTGTACAAAAATAAAACCGATGATGTAATAATAAACTCTACTTACTAGTCAAATTTATTAGTTTTGGGATCGGTGGGGTTAGTGGTCGTTTAATTAGTAAAGGTATTATTTTATTGTTAATTAAAAAAACATGAAATAAATATTTATCCAAAAGTCTTATAAAAGGAACTTTGCACATTCTTATAACACAGTACAAAGAGTACAAAGTGCCTTTAAAAAGCTTGTTGACTTGATTCAAGATAATGCAGAATCCAAGGTATAATAATGCATTCCATTTTTTTTTGAAACATATATTTTGAATTAAGCCAACAGTCCATTTCTCCTAGATGATCAGTCAAATCGAAAATGAAGTTAATGAAGAACTACGCGAAATGCATGATGTGGATATTATAGAACTTGAATTACCAGAAATAAAGGCCAAGGGCAAGAAACGTGATAAAATTTTTGAAGCGATCCATGATATTTTTAATGCTGAAATTGTTGACAATAAATTGTTCATCAAGGTAAGGTACCATTTTTGTTTTATAATTATTTTACATGCATTTTCTAATTCTTTTGTTACTATTCAAGTTTAATGGTGGGATTAAAGCAGAAATACATTATAAGTTGACGAGTTCACTTAACCAACAACTCCCACCAACTTGGTGGACTCAAATTGATACAATATGTGTGGTTAACGGTAATCAGTATCGACCTGATGTGGGCGGTTGGAATCCTAAACCAGCACGTAATCAAAGGCTTAACCCTATAATTAATCTATGTCCACCACCGTTGCTGTGGATCGAGGTGAAGATCTTATTCCCTTATCTTCAGAATTATGCAACTAATTCTTGATACAATCAGCCCAATCAAATATTTATAGGTGACCTATGACAATTCTGGGGATCGTGATAATGCCATGAATAAATTCGCATGCGTTCAACCCTACTGCCTGACCACAGAATTTGTAATAATCGTTGTTCCGGCTACTGAAACTGCCTTTCCAGCAAATCCAAATCCAGGTGTCGCTTCAATGGTGGGAACACCCAAAACGGCTCATCCTTCTCATGCTCCATATCTCGGCCATTGGCCCGTGGGCAATACAGTTCGTTGGTACAAGATGAAATGGAATAGGCATCTTGTATTAGGATGTGGAGCGAACATAGATTTTAATGATATACTTCAAGTCTTAACATAAAATTTATAATCAACAGATCAAACTATTATTGTTTTATTATTATACTTTCTTTGTTAAGTATAAAAATTTATATGATCTGTGTTAGCGAAATTGGTATCGGAATCTAATTTGCAATAAAGAACATTTGTGATGAATATTAATAAAAAAAAAATTACAATGAATGTAATGAGTGCGCAAAAGCGAAATATTCATAACTTTATTAATTTTTTTTTGCTTTATAAATAAAGTTAGGGTACTTTGTAACCCGCTCTGCATAATACATTATTTTCTATTTCATGTTTCCTAAGTGTAATGTGCATCATATTAATTATTTATCACAATAGCAAATTTCCATATTTCACGAATTCGTGCATATGATACATTATATTTTAAAGCTAATATCGGTAATGCATTTCCTTTACCCTTTGCAGTAATAATATCCCTAATTGCTTCGGGTGATAAGCATGTAGCACCTGATCTTAATCTTCTAAACATTTTATATACGCAGAAAAATAATTTATTGCTTGTTATATGATATTCAATCTTATGCCTTTATAGATACTATTTGGATTGAATTCTGATATTTATTTGTATAGCAATAAAGATGATAAGTTTTTTCACCACAATATTCACCATTACTCCAAAAACCCTTTATATAATTTCTTATATTTTCTTTTTTATGGTTTTTATTACATAAAGAGCAGGGTACTGATCTATTAAAATCAAAATAATTATTTTTAAAGCTATGTTTCAGAGTTAAATAAGGAAATCGCTCCAATACCATTTTAATAACGTGTTTTTGTTTCTCTTCCGGGTCTTTAGGTAGAACAAAAATTGGAAATTGTCATTTAGGTGATATAGGTACAACATTCATCTGTAGTACCCTCACCTGAGTTTTCAGTGAACTGTCTTGTAGGATATGATTATCAGCATTTTCGCTTTGTAGGGATTCAGAAGTTTCAGACTTTATCCAAGGATCAAGTCCAGTTTTTCCTTATATATTTTATATAACTTGGAATGAAGTTTATCAGATATCATGATTGGTAAATCAGTTAATTTAGAATATCAATTCAGATATTCAGGGATTAGTATCTTATCAGACTTGGCTTGTGAATTCATGTTGTCATTTATATAATTTTAAAGCAATTTAATTTCTCAGATATCACGTAAAGCACATATTTTATTCTTTATTACATATTAATGAGTTATAAAGTATCATGAAATGATAGGACTGCTTCAGTTTATGCAGTTATTTAAACAATATGCTGTTCACATTTAATATAGCAAGTTCTATCTTTATATTCCCCTTCTATGTTATCATGATCTAATCTGCATAATGAACATGATGTATTGTCAGTAATTTCATAATAATTAACATTTCTATCACTATACTTTTTATATAAATTAGGATATTGATTCAATATTTTGCTACGAAAATAGAATTGATCATAAGTTGATTTAGAAGAATCTTTACAGTTTCATTGTGTGAACTTGTTACTGAATTCACATAATCTATTATATCTTAGATTTGTTGGTAATTGAGACTTGAAATGACATCTGCGCTATAAGAGACCTGTTTAATTTTCTCTAGTCCCAATATATTGAATAATTTATATAATTTTCTAGCTCTAAGAATTTTTTGACGCAAGTTCACATCTGTTATTTCAGGTAGAAGCTGTTTGATTTCTTGATATATCATAAATATTGCAGTTTTTTTCTTAACTCCACCAGTAACAAAGTTATCGATCCTTTTGTCATATTTTTCTATAAAATAGTACCAGTATAAAATTGTTTCTTGATCAAGTTTATTAACTTTCTTAAACATGCAAACTATATTTTGTATGATATCTAAAGATAGATCCTATTCTTCTGAAGTTTGATCTGATTTAGATGTATGTGCAGGTGATGATAACTGTTGCTTTAATTCTTATTTCACAATTATATTTTTATCCAACTTGATAATAACTTCATCATGCTGATTGAATTTAAGTTTCTTTATCACATGACTCTGATCATGAAGAATCTTCACGATTTTCAAAATTATATGCTAATTTGGATACATCAACTTGTGGTTGCTTTAGTAAGATGCAATATACTAAAATTATGCTCTCAGAACTAGCCTTATAAGATTGTGACAAGCCTTGCTCTGAAGTTAATATGTCTGTGACTTCAGAAATTTTAGTCACATCCTGAGAAATTAAAAGTGTTTCTTGATCTCTCTGTTTCTTTTTCTGTCTTCTCTTTCTAATCTTATTGCTAATGCTTTTCTTACACATCTTATCCAAGAAATTGATCATTTCCTCATCGTTATCATCAAGGTTACTAGATGCTCATCCTACTTCATTATTGAGTTAGTCTATTACAGAACTGGATACATTAACAGTTGATACTATCACCACTAACATTGCTTCTTTATCATTTTGTGTTTGATCAAATAACAACATCATCCCATTCATTGCTGAATCCTGTTCTAATAATGCAAGTCTAGCTTCAAGTTCTCTGACTCTAGACTTGAGTTTAGCATTCTCAGCATTATGTCTTGCATTCTCCTCAATAATTTGCTTTAACCTTGCATTCTCAGCCTCAACCTCAACAAATCTTAGTAGCTTCTTTCTAAGTTCAGGAATTTCAGTATTTTCCTTCCTAAGTTTGGTAATCTCAGCTAAGAGCTTGGTATTTAATTCTTTTAATGAATCAGTGGATTGCATATTTGATAATATTTTTTATAAAAGATGAAATAATTCAAAAGTTCAAGTTAGTATAGTAATAGATAAAAAATCATATGAACAATTATTCACATCTGATCACTTTTGCCAAGAAAAATTTTATTAATATCAATATATGCAAAAATAAATACAAATTTTTGGGACCTAGTCTGTGATATATAACGTCTATACTATTATCTGTGAACTAATGCCTGCATGAAAATTTTTATGAATACACAATGGATCATTATAAGTATTCAATATTGTTACGGTTCAGAATTATCCTTAATTCCTTAATTTCTTAATTTTGATCATGTGACTCAACATAGATAGCAGAGATAACAGAGTTCTCAGACATATCAATATTATCCACTATATCATATTTATCTGACATGTATAACATATCCCACATTGTAATAACTTAACCATAAATTATTTTATATAAATAAAGGATCTTTTGGATAAACCAAAAGGCATCAATTGATCAATACAAAATCTAGCT